TAATTGGGCTCAGATTTAAAAAGGGAATGGGTGGGGAAATTGGTAAAGCAGGAAATTTTTACAGCGAGATACTATGTTGCAGGAAATAATTCTACCAAGTGAACTACTTTTCTTGAGGCCTAGAAATTGGATTGGACAAACCTGTATTACTATATGGATAGTTATTATGCTTAATAGCAATTCCAAAAGTGATGTACAATAAAAGCTTTGTGACAGTGAATGATGCTTTATTTTCTTATTAGAAAAGATCTATTAATAACACTATTGTTCTGATTGACTTTTATGGCCTCAAGAATAACTATTTGAAATATTACAAAGATGGTTTCCTAAACCTTATTACATTCTGTCAACTCATTGTGATTTTAATTTAATTCAGAATTCTCAGCTACACCAGGAATTCTACAAATGATCCTGTTACCTATTCCCACAGTTTGAAAGTATTCCAAGCATGCACACTTGTTTGGTGTATTTGAAAACTAAAAATTAAATGCACATAACAACATTTTAACCAGATTTCTTTTTAAATTATCCTGCTCTGAGTGATTCATTTTTATGTAGCACTTAATAGGATTCATTTCAATTGCAGGCCATGTTTCAGTGACTCATTTTGAAATTTAAAAAAAATGATAAATCAACCAATTTCAGATCTATCTGAATATTTCTGTTATAGATTTTTCTTTCTTGGAACATAAAATAAATAACAATGGTTTCTTTTTCCTACAAAGATGTTAGCCCTTTGGGACACTTTTATATAAATAAAAAAGAGCATAAAAGAGCAAAAAGAGACTTAGACATTTTTAATTGTAGGCAGCTGGAAAATATGGTTGAAGACTCACATGTTGTTTATGCTAGAAACCCCACAGATAAATCATATCAAATATTTATACTATCTAAATTGGCTACTACTTTGAGAACAGTTTTTTGATATGCATTAATTAGAATTTTTAGGAATTGGGTGAGAAAACAGGAAAGCTTTTTTTGGTTCCTTTGAATCATCTGTAATAGATGATTTCAATATCAAGGTTATTTGTGCAGTGCTGATTATAGATTATTGGCACTGTAATATTTAGGTAACCTAGACCATTAAAGATGAAAAAAGAAAGTATTATATCAGTATTAATTATGATTTAAAATGTGTTAATAAGAGGATAATTTAGCTTTTACATCCAAAGCTGAATATAACAATAAAAAGTAGCTGTACATTACATTAAAATATTTGTTATACAGTAAAGGTTTCTGTCTTAAGCTGATTACTTAATATTAAGGTCTCCACTGTAATATTATTTACTATTGATTCATGTTGAGGAAAAAAAGTCAAATAGGCACAACAACTAAAAAGAAAAAAAACCAAGGATATTTGGTTTCTGACTTCACCCTTTTTTGTGCTTCTGCTAATTTACAATATTCATAAACATTTAGGTTCACAGAGAAGCCAAACTGTAAATGTTTATATTTGCCATGCTGCATGATATCTTGTAATTATTCTTGCTTACATTTAGTTAAAGTTCTGTTGTGAATATATATTGTTAATTTTGCCATTACTGCATATTTTCCAAACTTACCGTTAGTTCCCAATTAAATATTGTTGGGATTATATCTTCTTCCACTGTGGGGCAAAATTTATTCTTCCTGCCGTAAGCATGTATTTCAGTAAATTATGATGTTTCTTGTTGGTATCAAGACAGTTTTGACTGCTGGTGACTGCCTGAATTAGTCTTTACAGTTTTCCTGGCAAGAATTTCAGAACTGATTTGTCATTGTGTTTTTTCTAGGACTTAGAGGGAATAACTAGGCCAAAATGACTCAGCTGGCTTTGTGCTTAAAATGGTACTAGAAGAGTGATCCCCAACTGTTCCAGCTTTGTGCCCAGCGGGGGGGGGGGAAAGAGGGAATAGTTACACGCAAATAAACAGCTCCATTTGCGTGAGCAGTGGGCATACGCGCCCGCCGCCCGCACAAATGGAACTTCACGCATGTGCACCAGCCCACCACTCACATGGAGCTGCACATGCACATGTGCTCACCCACCACTACCGCAGCCCAGTTCTGGGGGTTGGGGACCCCTGGATTAGAACTCACTGTCTCCCAGTTTCTAGTTGCTTGCCTACACCAAACTGGCTGTCATACTGACTGCAATACAATTATCCATAATTACATTAATCAAGAACATCTCACATCCTTGTCTTATTCCCTTCTCAATATTGAAATCATTTGCTAAACATTCTACTTATTTTCATACATATCTTACTTTTAAATACACTGCTTTTACCACGTAAAGCAGCCATCCTTCAATATTTAAGCAAAACATTCCGTAATTCAAACTTTCAACTTCATCATATGCCTTATTGAAATCATTAGAGATACATAAAATTTCTCATATTCAATTTATCCTGTATGAGAGTACACTTCTATGGCTCCCAGATATTTTGTTGCAGACAAGAAAATGTTGGTTTATAGCAGGGGTGTCAAACTGCCGGCCCACGGGCCAGATGCATCATAGCGAAACCTCACCCACCCCATTGCCGGCAGTAGAAAAAAAGTTGCGATAGGTTGCAACACGTCACGTGACGTTGCAAGTTTGACACCCCTGGTTTATAGAGTAGTCTGTAAGAATGTACATCTAAGCTTGCACAAAATAGTAAACTTTGTTGGGTAAAACTGGGCTTTGATTATGATTATTGCATATTAGCCAAAATATGCCAATAGTAATATTATTAATTTACTTATTTAAATGTATTATAGCCACCCACTCCCATAGATTCTCTACCTCTTACAAGTACACATTAATAAAAACAGTTAAAAGTATATAACCCCACAAGCAGCCCAGACTGAAACAATCAAATCATAACAAATAAAACCAAAATACATCAACTCAGAAACACACAGACCTAAGACCAAAACCAGTTCTGAAATATTTTTCAGAAACATAAAGTGCTTTCTGTATCTCCGTTGGGAGGGGGGAGGGATTGGTATTCTAGAGCAGGGCTTTTCAACCTTTTCACAGATTGTATCACTTTTAGGACATGATAATATTCGAGTACCACCAGTGCTTAGCAAGGTGTCAAAAACTTGATGACTAAAAAAGGGGGGGGGATTTGGGGTTGAGGTTCAATGTTAATGCTTCCTTCTACCGCAACAGAGGAAGTTGGAAATCAATGCCTTTTCTTTTTCCCTTCTCCCCTCACTTTTTTCCCCTTTTCCCTCCCCACTGTGTCTTACTATTTGCTTTTGTATTTTTGTATTTTATTCTATAATCTAATAAAATGTTACAAACTGTAAAAAAGGGGGAGCAGAAAGTACTGGCTATAATTTCTTTGGTGGCGGTTCCTTTGCTAAATCACTTTCGTTTTACACTGACAAATGTATGAATTTCTCAATATTTATTAATATGCACCACAACCTTGATGGTCAGGTGGCTGGTCGGCCCTTCTTCCTCTCTCCCTCTCTTCATCCTTCGTTCGCAAAAGCCCCTTGTGCTCTCTCACCCTTTGCTCGCAAAAGCCCCCTCTCTCACACACACACATTCCCCAAAAGCCTTTCCTCTCTGCCTCTCACACACACACCTCCCCAAAAGCCTTTCCTGTCTCTCTCACCACTTCTCTGACAAAAGCCTTTTCTCTTCTGACTCTTTCTCCGAAGTGTTTTTCCCCCCTCTTCCTCTCCTGCCAAAACTGCCCCCTTTTATATCTTCTCCTGTCTCTGCCCTCCTCTTTTCTCTTCTGGGTGTGCCAGAAGTGTTGATCCTGTGGCCTTTGTCTTGACCCAGCAGCCCTGCAGCTCCCGAGGACTCTCTGTCAGGGCAAGTCCTGTGCTGTGCTGCTTTAGTTCGTTCCCTCCCTTAATACACTTTCTAGGCTGGGCAGAGTCATGTACCACCTGCCAGGTACCAACGTACCACCGGTGGTACGCGTACCAACAGTTGAAAAGCCCTGTTTTAGAGGATGGGAGGCACAATAGAAAAGGCAAGTTTCTTCAGTTCCACAAGATGATAACGTTTAATAGAAGAGACCTGGAGTGTTTGCTATTTATTTATTATTTTTATTTATTATGAATTCAAATGAATTCACCAATGAATGCATCATCCCGGCTTTGCCAAAGGTCATTGACAAGCATGACTAGCACTGTCTCCATAGAGTACCCCAGTCTAAAACCCAACTGAAACGTGTCCAGGTAATCCATTTCATCCAGATCCTCTGTAATTGTTGCTCAACCACTTTCTCTACAACTTTTACCGTAAAGGGGAATTTGGAGCCTGGAAAATAATTGTCTAGAATAGTGTAATGGCCCTTGATTGCCTCCTCAGAAGGGGCCATGCTATTGCCTCCTTCACAGACAGCAGAACCACTCCCTCAAAGAAGCAGAAATCACTGCACCGACCTATCTCTTGATTACGCCCATGTCACCTTCATAACTGGGGAGAGTTCAGGATCTAACAAATGTGCCTGAACTAGCAGTCAGAAAGTCCTTCAGTTAAAGACTGAGTATTATTTTCTCTGATTGGTAAGAAGTATACTCTACTTACATGTTATCATTGTCTAACATCCATCAGCAATGTAGATTATCTGTGTTTTTGACTGCAGCTGATGTCTATATAATAAAGGGTACTGATCTGTTAGTTAATGGAAACTAAAACTTACTTCCTTTGTTGGGCCAAATTTCAGCATATATGATTTCTTAAATTATTTATGAGAGAGGTGCATTTTTTATAAATAGGTTTAACCTATTTTCTATGTTGGAAAATTGCTGAGTCAAGATGACCTGTTAAAATTGGATATGTTTGCTTACCTTGAGAAAGAAAAGGGCTCTGAATAATGTGTATTATGTTGTGCTTTAAATACATATACATTTTCTTAAAGTACTTGAATTCTTACTCTGCTTATTTTTTTTTGTAGTAAAATCACTCTTAGGTTTATTAATCAGTCACACTTTTAAAGCTTGATATATGATGAAACTCCATAGCGTCAGTATTTGTGTTTTCTCTTACATTTCCTAAACTATAGGTGGGACACAGCGACTACCTCGTACCATTGGTGTGTCTCTGGCAAAAGAATTAATATTTTCTGCTCGTGTACTTGACGGTGAAGAAGCAAAATCAGTAGGTTTGATCAGTCATGTGGTTGAACAGAATGATGCAGGGGATGCTGCCTACCAAAGAGCTTTAGCCCTAGCAACAGAATTTTTACCTCAGGTACAGTCTCAATGGATGATATTCTTTATTCTGCCATTTTGTTGCAATAGATGACAATTATTACCATAAAATATATTGAAAGCCCTCCATTACTTATAATTACTTATAATGCCAAATCTTCCTTCCTTGGTTGTCATTATAGGCATATTATTCATCTATCCATGATTGTGTTAACAAATCTTAAAATATTGAATTAATGATAAATATTAGAGGGTTTTGTTATTATTTAAGCTTTAGTGCTTTAACTGGTATTTTTGCTTAGTATCCATCTTTTTCTTAGGCATCTTACTATGGAAATTTGTAAAATTCTTTTGTTTCTACATTTCCTAATTTAGTTTTCCCCAAAAAATTAAAATTTTTACTTTCTGTTAATCAGTAAAAAGTAGTGAAGTGGCACTTTATAGCCCAAATACTAAATACAGATTCCATTAACTTAATGGAAAGTGTATACTTATGAATGTATTTAAGTATGAAGCTTTATATATTACATAACATCCTCTATAATAATATAATATTTATTTATTTGATTACTATCTAGATATAGTGAAAAAATATTTTGATTTTTATTGATCTGAAATGAAAAAGAACCACTATGTCTAACTTTAACATTTTAAGAAACAATAGATAAAAGAATATTTTCTATTGTCAAGTATAGTAGACCTAGCATTGTCTTTGTTAAAGGTCAGTATCTTCAAGCTCTCAAGCAGCTTTACAAAGTACATTTTAAAATTTCCTCAGGTGAACTATGTAGTATAAAATCTATTTTGTTACCTTCAGCAGGGGCCTTTATTATTTGTTTGTTTATTAAATTTGTATGCCACCCATCTATCAAATCATAATACTTACCATCCCATTAATACTTTTCATATTAATATTAAAATAACATTAATGTTATTAAAGCATAACTCAATGAAAATCTGTATCAATTCTATTATAATTTTTTAAAAGTTACTAGAATGATTAGATAATCATTCTGCTTTCATGAAAGCTGTGATTTATAGGATTTTGTGTGCAATTTTTAATGCTCGAGTTTTAGTGCTGTTTCTTTAATATGGGGAAGGAGATAGGTACTGTTACCATTTTGTGCATTTGAAACAACACACCTACCAACCAGTATATTCAATAGGTTTGTGAAGATGTAAACTTGGATATTTCTCCTAACTTCTGTCGATTTGATATCTGTATGATTCAGTCCAGCAAATACTAATTCTAATTTCTTTTTAAATTGTTTCTATATTTATCTCTTTATGGTTTTGTAAGCCAGCCCAAGTTACCTTATTGGTGAAAGGGACAGCATATAAATTTAATAAATAAATTCAGAAAGTATTTTTCAAAAATATTTTTTTAAAATATCCTTCCTACATAATAGTGTTTAATAATGCTATTGTACTGTTATATAATATTAAATAGAACCCTACAATATATAGATTAAGAGTGGAACTCTCCCACATTGGCTGATACCAGCCCCATTAAAAACAAGCAAACCAGCATAGTGTATTGCTTCCCACTTCCAGTCCATGCACAATGATATCATGGTTCATGGTATTGAAGGGTGCCAAGAAGAGCAAGAACAGATGCTTGTCCCTGCCCTACTTCCACTAGAAATCATTCAAAAGCATGACTGTGTGGTCTCGATCCATGTCAGGCCTAGATCCTGACTGAAAGGGATCCAGATAATCTTCTTTATCAAGGGCCTGCTGAACCTGCTGCACAACTACCTTTTCCATAATCTTCCCTAAAAAAGAGAGAATAAACACTGGACAAAAGCTGTCTAGTATGATAGGATCCCTTCAGGGTGAACTGATACCTCCCTAAGATGTGGAGGAATAACCCTCCTATGAAGAATTAAGCCTTCCATCCAGATCTTAATTCCTTCTGCTTTACAGCTTGATGGCATATAATCAACCAATCTTACAGCTTAGATTTGATAGTCCTTCCAAAACAAGATGGAAGTGACTCTGTTAGCTTCTCAGAAGCTTTCTACAGAACTAAACGGAAACGCAGAAACAGTAATTGAATCCTGTGCAGTATTGGGGCCACCATATTTTCCCCATTGTCTTGCATATGAAATAACAAAATTTGGCTCACTCTTCAGTAAAGTATATCTTGCAGCCATCCCTTCCTTCTCTCCATTGCTCAGCATTTCTTTTCTTTTTCATAACCCACAAGTGAAGCATTCCATGAAAGCCCTAGAACAGTGATGGCGAACTTTTTAGGGACTGAGTGCCCAAAAACCGCCCCTGCCTCCCCGCCTGCCCCACTCTGTGCCCCACCCACTCTGCCCCCGCTCCTCCGCAAGGCCACCCACTGCCTCCATGGCCCACCGCAGTAGATTGCCCAGGCGGCCCAGCAGTGCCGTGGCAGCCACACCCGTCCATGCCCCGCAGCATCATCTGCGCGTGACGGGGCGCGAGGGCAGAGTCTTGTCCCTGCAGCCTGGCTGCCATGTCCTTGGCTGCGTTGCTCTGCACGGACCGCGCTCAGGGGTGACTCTCCTCCAGGGGGGCAGCTGGTGAGGGGGCCACAGGGGGAGGTGGGGCTGGGGTGATGGCGTGTGTGCCCACAGAGAGGGCTCTGAGTGCCGCCTCTGGCACGCGTGCCATAAGTTCGCCACCACTGTTCTTAGAGAAAGAACTGACTCAAAACTACCAAGCCAGTTTATGTGCCTATAGAAGCACTATGACTCATAATCTGATTTTTAATCCAGCACTTTTATCATTTGTTCCAGATTGCTGATACAGAAGAAGTGTTAGATTCAATATTGTGTTTACTGAAGTCAGCTTGTCAAAATGAAGTTACAGATTTAGGTCTTAATTCTTTCCCTCAAAAGCTGTTATGGTCTTCATGCATTTCCTTCCCTCTAAATCTAACAATTAATACAATTAACTTCTGACAAAAGGAAATGTTGATATTTGAATCCTTTTTAAAATCACAAACCTTATTTTCTGTGTTGAAACTTACATTTCTTTTTAATTTTAGGGACCCATAGCAATGAGAGTTGCAAAATTGGCCATAAATCAAGGAATGGAGGTAAGAAAATCTTATTTGTGCATACTATTTAATCTTTTTCATTTAAGGGGCAAAATAGATGTAGAAATTGTATACTTGATATATATGGATTAAAATCTGTAAAACAGTAGTTGGATGTATTGTCTCAAGCACAGTTTGGAAAGTTTGGAAAGCTGAATCCTATCCATACTTTTTCGTTGACTACTATACTTCTAGTCTCATAGCCTCACAGAATCGGGAAAGTTTGAATGTTACCCTCCTATTGCACATAGAACAATACGGATTATGCAGATTCCTCTCACAACTTAGTCCTCAGATTGAAAAGACTAAACCTACAAATCAGCTTATTTATTCCTTAACTTTAGAAAGTGTGCTAAGCTATGATTTCTTTGTTCATTTTCAATTTTTTATTTTCAGCACAACATATTTTTATCGGACTTGCAAATTTCTATTTGAACAAAGACAATATATTTCTTTTCTATCCTCACCAGGCTTCTGAAAACATGTATTCTAGCACAATTATAATGCAGAGTAGTACCTTTAGACCTCTTAAATGTATCCTTTTACCTATTTTTACAAAGCATGACCAAAAGCTATCTTCTTTAACATAATTTTATTAAAAGTTTTAAAATCAAGAATAAAAATTAATACAAACTAAAAGGAAGAAAACATAATAAAGAAAACGTAAAAGAGAAAGCTAAAGTGCAAGAAGAAAAAAGTTAGCAGAAAAATTGAAAAGGAAGAAAAAAAAATATAAAGATCTCTTTTATAGCAGTTATAAACACAATTATAGATTTATCTCTTTCTCTAAAGTTACGTTGTGACTCTATTTTTTAAAAAAATCCTGATTGTCACAACCAAAGATCTTAAATTCATTTTTTCTGCTTTATGCAAAAAGTTTAAAAGGGATACCAAAAGCTATTTTCTGATGTATTTTGTGATATGGTTTTGAAGTATGATATTGATCTATGTATTGCTTTATGCAGGGCTTTTCAACTGGTGGTACACGTACCACCGGTGGTACATTGGCACCTGACAGGTGGTACATGACTCTGCCCAGCCTAGACAAGTGTAGTGGGGGGAGGGAACAAACTAAAGCAGCGCAGCACAGGACTTGCCCTGACAGAGAGTCCTCGGGAGCTGCAGGGCTGCTGGGTCAAGACAAAGGCCACAGGATCAACACTTCTGGCACACCCGGAAGAGAAAAGAGGAGGGCAGAGACAGGAGAAGATATAAAAGGGGGCAGTTTTGGCAGGAGAGGAAGAGGGGGGAAAAAGACTTTGGAGAAAGATTCAGAAAAGAAAAGGCTTTTGTCAGACAAGTGGTGAGAGAGACAGGAAAGGCTTTTGGGGTGTGTGTGTGTGAGAGAGAGGGCTTTTGCGAGCAAAGGGTAAGAGAGCACGAGGGGCTTTTGCGAACGAAGGATGAAGAGAGGGAGAGAGGAAGAAGGGCCGACCAGCCACCTGACCATCAAGGTTGTGGTACATATTAATAAATATTGAGAAATTCATACCTTTGTCACTGTAAAACGAAAGTGATTTAGCAAAGGAACCGCCACCAAAGAAATTATAGCCAGTACTTTCTGCCCCCCCTTTTTTTTACAGTTTGTAACATTTTATTATATTATAGAATAAAATACAAAAGCAAATAGTAAGACACAGTGGGGAGGAAAAAGGGGGAAAAGTGAGGGGAGAAGGGAAAAAGAAAAGAAAAGGCATTGATTTCCAACTTCCTCTGTTCCAGTAGAAGGAAGGATTAACATTGGACCTCAACCCCAAATCCCCCCCTTTTTTTTAGTCATCAGGTTTTTGACACCTTGCTAAGCACTGGTGGTACTCGAATATTGTCATGTCCTAAAAGTGGTACAATCTGTGAAAAGGTTGAAAAGCCCTGCTTTATAGAAGTATATGTGTTTTTATAGGTAGTTTTGTATCCCAGAGTTCTTAAGAAATATGAGAAGCATATAAGCACACAGTAAATGTACTCATCAAAAGTATTTGTGAATTTTTGTTGAAATAGTTCCTCAAATGGAAATCCCAAATGGTGCTTTGAATGCCCTTAACTGTAAATGGAGAATATATCCTATTACATGAATTTAGTTGTTTTAGAATTTGGCTAAGATTGAATTGCAGTTAAAATGTGGGAAAATGTTAGGGATCACTTGATTTCTCATATTTTTCTTATATTTCATTTCACCATGCCCACGTATCCCTTGTGGCTTTGTACACATAAATGTTTTATCTGGTTCTTCATTTTAGTTTATTTTTAAAAAATATTATATCAGTGACTTTACTATTATTCATATAAATTAGTCATAAAATGGAATGCAGTGTGCATCATGTAGCAGTTAGAATATAAATTCTTGGAATAGTATGTTGACATCCTGTTAAAAGTAGTTGAAAGACATTAGCTGGATTTGTGTGTAATTGGGACACATTTTCAGTATAACAAAACTCTAAATAAAATTTCAGTGGCCTATCACTATAATACAATTAGATTAGGGCTACAAAACCCTTTTTAAGTACAACATCTTTATACTTTAATGGTGGGGAACCAGTGACTGTCCATTAATTCCAGCAAACATAACCAAGGATGAAAGCTATTGGAATCTGTCATAGATTCCGTACATCCTTATGAAATTTGAACCTGAGATTCTATTGAAGTATAGACTCAACTATTATTATTAATAATAAGAACTCAATTTTTGAACTGATATGCAGAATATTTTTTATACTGTTTTAAATTTATTACACTTTTGTTGTTATTTAGGTAGATCTGCTAACAGGTTTAGCAATTGAAGAAGCATGTTACGCTCAGGTATGAAATTAAAATTATCCATCCTTGGTACCTTCCAAAATGCCTCCCTTCCAAAATTATTTTCCATGTTTAAATATTGGTAATATGCAGATCATAATGTCATCACCCAATATCAAACTAAAATAGTTGATAGTTCAGTTTTGATGATGGGGAATTACGAATATCTGCTTTACACCTCATGTACCTCACTTTTTGGATCAGAACTTTACTCATTTACTGTTCAGTTGTATATGTGCCTGCTTAGAAATAGGACTTAATTCCAGATTAATGTGTACACATTTACAATGTTAGAGTGCTCATGTTGAAATGATCATCTATTCTCGTGAATCAGCAATGCTCTTAAAAATTAGCCCTTGGCCTACCTCTGTGGGTATTTAGAAATGCAGACTTCATAATAAAAACATCTGTCTGTGGAGGTTCTCAGTTATCCAGGTCTTGGTTGTCCCAAAGGTGCTTTTTCAAAAGGCAACTGGACTTTGTTTTTCCTTGAAGATGTTTAACTTCTCATCCAAGAAGCTTCTTCAGTTCTGCTTCTTCAGTGAACTGAAACAGTTCTTGGATGAAAAACAAAACTTCTTCAAAACTTCTTTGCCTTTTGAAAAAGCTTCTTTGAGACAAACATCTCTCTTTTACCTTGTACTACTTACAAACTCTCTGAGTTACAGGTCAATTTGTAAGAGTCTTCCTCATCACTATATTATTTTCCTATATTTCAATATGTTCACTATATTGAAATTTATCAAATGAACAATGATGTAATCTGAATAATAACTTGAAATAGATCAGCAGCACTGTCGGTATCAAGGCAGTTCTTATACCCTAAGAATGTCTGGGAGGTTTTGAAGACTTAACAGGAGGTGGGCTTTTTCTTTATTCTTGAGTGCACCATACTAATTCTGTCTTCCATGAATTGTGATTGGTTTATTTGATTAAGACAACTAAAACTGGAAAGAGTCATCCAATGCTGTCCAGTTCTTGTAGGAGTATTTAATTTTCCTGCAAGATCAGTTTTAAGAAGCCATACTTCACAATTTACATCCTTGTCACAAAATTAATAATTATATATGTAGATTATTACTGGAGAGAATCTTAGTTCAGAAAGAACAAATTTGAGATGCTACTCTCAGTTTTATCCCATCCCTGATAACCAGCAAAGCTTTGATTATAGAAGAGCACGATTGATTTACAACAGCTGCAAGCATTTTGTAACCATGGCTCAGCTTACACTTTTTCTTAACTTTCTGCTCACCCATACCTTTGGGTGATGTTTCCATGTAAATGTAACTAACTTACAGGAACTGAAAAAGATTTTCTTCTTTGTAGACTATCCCAACAAAAGACAGAATTGAAGGTCTTCTTGCTTTTAAAGAGAAAAGACCTCCTCGCTACAAAGGAGAATAAGGAAAAACTTCTTTTAAAATGCAAATGAAATAAAAGACTCCTGGAAGGACTTTTAGCTTACTCTTTGCCTCAGAATGTGGACTAATGCAACCATGGAAGTAAACGTAAATACCTGTAGGTTGATATTTATAATGTACATGTACTGAAGGCTTTTCTGTGAAATTGCAAGGTCATTGAATTCTGCAGCACTTTATTCCACATCTTTGAATTGTATATCTTATCAATTAAATATATACATTCCTAAAGAGACTAAACAATGTAAGTGTTCTGCTGTTGGAACAAAATAATTCTGCACACCAGACACTGTAGATTATATTGAATAAATTTATCAGTAGATCAGCAAATGCATTTTTATTCCATCTGAATGTGTAAATTTATGGCGTTTCCCAAATCGATGAAAGAACCACTGGGAGTATATTTATATACTCTTGAAACAACTGTACAGCTTGTATAATTGTAAAGAGTTATTAAGCATATTAATTGTGCTATGCTTCCATCATATGATTTTAACAATAAAATAGAAACTGAACTTAGATTTTTTTTTTGGTTGGGATTATTTGTATGCAGCACGAAGATTACAAGTTTAGCTTTTTTGTGTATAATGGCACATGAGTTTATTATTGTGTGTATACAGGTAGTTGTCAACTTACAACAGTTCATTTAGTGACCATTCAAAGTTACAATGGCACTGAAAAAGTGACTTATGACTGTTTTTCACATTTATGACCACTGCAGCAGTATCCCCACAGTCATATGATTAAAATTTCGATGCTTGACAACTGGTTCATACTTATGATGGTTGCTGTGTCCCAGAATCATGTGATCACCTTTCTCAGCCTTCCAACAAGCAAAAGTCTATGGGGAAGCCAGATTTACTTAAAAACTGTGGCAAGAAAACTCATAAAATGGGACAAAATTCACTTAACAAATGCCTCGCTTAGCAACATAAATTTTGGGCTCAATTGTGGCTGTAAGTCGAGGACTAACCTGTAGATGTGTACACAAACATGCATAAACACAATCACACATACACACCCAGCAATGACAGGCATTCTAACTAAATCCAAGAATGAATGTAAAATAGAATTAAAACAATAAATGCATAGTTGAAAATATATTAATAAAGCAAACTTAACAGTGAATCAGATAGCGTTACCCTACATGCTAATCAAAACAAAGAACCTTTTAACTTATAAACCTGTACATTTTAAGCGTGTATAGGAGTCTTAATAATTCATTTAAAAATAATAGGAGACTTTACCACCTTATGTTACACCTTATGTATGTTGTTCATACAATTTTCTGCCGTTGTGTTGCCTACTAAACATAGCTCTTCACTAGAAGGCAAATAAACTGAAATTGCTATAAAGAAAGTGACACTGCCAGCCATGGGTTCTACACTCCTGATGGCTCCAGAAAAGGAGTCACTAGCGCCAGAGGCGTAGCGTGGGGGGTGCAGGGGGGGCCGGCCGCACCGGGCGCAACATCTGGGGGGGCGCGCTCGCACTCGCAGCTCTCTGCCCCTGCCTGTGCGAATCCGATCCGAGCCGCCGGGTCGCCGCCCACTGTGGAGGGGGGGGCGCAAATTACTTGCCTTGCCCCGGGTGCTGACAACCCACGCTACGCCACTGACTAGCACTGCAACATCCGTCTGCTTGGAATTCTTGCAGCTTTAGAAGCAGCTATCTTCTGCTGAGGAGGTAAGAAGCAGCACTGATTTTTGTTTTACAAGTCATCCTCAATTTACAACAGTTCATTTAGGGACCGTTTGAAGTTACAACAGCATTGAAAAAAGTGACATTACCATTTTTCACACTTAGGATTGTTGCAGCATCCCCATGGTCATATGTTCAAAATTCAGACACTTGGCAATTGACTCATATTTATGACAAAAAAGATTATACAAAACTCACTTAACAACTGTGTTGCTTAGAAATTTTGGGCTCCACTGCGGTTGTAAACTGAGGACTACCTGTAGTATAATTTACAGTTTAGGGATGTATACAAGGTTTATTTAAGGTAACTCCTTGTTCTTTTTTTAAAAATCGAAAAGAACGATGAGAGAAAAATGCAATTAACAAAAATACATGTTGCACTTCAGAAAGCTTACCCTTTCTGGACAGCTAAAATTAATAAAAGATCATATGACTGTGGCCAATCTTTTCTTTCTTCAAGGCGATAAAGGGTCTTATAAGGATTCTTACTCTCCCAACTTCATTCATGCATAGTATTACTATTCTCTCTGTGCAATCAGTAGAACCAACATGTGATCTGGATTCATTTTCAGCTTTTTGATATCATTTGCAGCTTCCAAGCATTACACATATATAGATGATGCCCAAATTTTTTATTTTGTTTTTGTTCCAAAGCTCTTTGGCTGTTAACCTACCCTATCCTTTGTAGGGAAACTTATTCTATCCACTAAATGAAATAGAACGAGGGTTCATCTATGAATGCAGTGTATGTCAGGTTTTTTTTTACATATTCTATTACCTAACATTGTTATCATGGAAAAAGTATATGTAATTTTGTATGTTGCATGTCAGTAATAAATATAAGAATGGATCATATAATGAAATAAATATTAAAGTTAACATTTCACTTTTTGATAAAAAATACTTCAGTGGACTTATCACTATGCTAGCTGACTTACCATTTTATCTATTACTGGTATAACTTAAGAAAGAAAGAAAAAGTCTCCAAAAATATTAAAATTCTGTTTTCATTGTGTAAGATGAAATGTTTAATAAAGTCGTGCATCCAATTAAATACTGTATACTGAAGTGTACAGACATCACTCAGACTAAATACATCTAGTGTATAAAAATAACAAATTATAATAATTGCATGAGGAATGTCATTCATCAGAATCGCTTATAAAGGAATACAAAAATATCTCTACCAAACTGAAATATTTAGTCATATTTTGATGCCTTGTGTTTTAAAAATTATCCTGATTTAAGAACATTATTTATACAGATCTCATTTTTTCCTTCACAAGACGAAGTATTATGTTGCTATTTATTTGCAGGGCCTTTATCTGGTTACTTCTGTGCATAAAATATGGTATCTAAGTTGTAATGAATTCCAGAAGAAAGATTATTCAGAAATACCGCAGCATGTCCACATTAGGCAATAATTTCTCCTATGTTTCTCCCTCATTTCTCTTTAATTTATGTTGGTTAATCATTTGCCAGAAAGAAGGGAAATAAATTGTCCATTGCCTTAACACTTGTTAAGCTGAAAATTCAGTACATAATCCTTTTGTGCTGATTACGTTTGTGCCCACCATGTTAACCTCAAAGCAGAGTAATTTCTCAATCTTCTTAAGCTTTTTTGGAGAAAAGAATCAGCTGGGAGGAAAAAAAATGTTATTCTTAGATCCTGTACAAGTAAAGTGATTTATACTCATTCAAAAAAAAAATAATCCAAACTCTTATCTCTTGCTGAAGTGAATATCCAATTAATATATTATTTATAATGCATTTATAATGCATACTCTTTTAGATTAATTATCTCAAATGGAACCAAAGCATGGATTATTTACCGCTAATTTTTCTATTACAGTGTGATATATAGAACATAATCTTTAGAGAACCTGTAGCTTTCTCTGAAGCATAAGGGCTTGTCAATATGTAATCACTAAGTGAGTTACACATCTGGATTTATTGCTTGCCATAGTTGCCAAGAAAAAATGCGATAACCTCTTAAGCCATTTCGCTATTTGCTTGTTTTTGTTATGGATCATCTTTAAGGCGCTCCATGGCAGCGGACCAGGATACCTTCGAGACCGCCTTCTGCCACAGATTACCTCCCATCGGCCAGTACGCTCCCACAGGGTGGGTCTCCTCAGGGTGCCGTCGGCCAGACAGTGCCGGCTGGCGACCCCAAGGGGGAGGGCCTTCTCTGTGGGAGCTCCCACCCTCTGGAATGAGCTGCCCCNAACAAGCGGGACTGGCCTAGGGCAATTTTTAGAGGGGTTTTTAATCATATTTTAATTAGACAACATTTAAATATTTCTTTTTAACTAATTTTAATTTTGTAATTGTTATTGGTGTATTTTTTAACTGATTGTCAGCCGCCCTGAGTCCGCAAGGAGAAGGGCGGGATATAAATTCAATAAATAATAATAATAATAATAAAAAAAAAGATCAAATAAGTAGAAATGAAATTCACTATGAGAAAACTGTATTTATAGCGAGACATCATAGGGGTATTTGGTATTATTGGAAAATAAGAATCCTTGATCTTTTATGGGATTTCCCACTCATATTTTAATTTATTTCCTGTTTACAGAATTTATCTTACCAATGTGATGATGAGCACAAATATGTAAATATATTGTTTGCACATCAAATTACGGAAAAAAATTGCAAAGGAAATGGATCATGTTCTATAGCAATCCAAACAAAATCACTATTTCACTGTACATTTTTGCATATAGTTTTAAAAATGAAAATAAAAACTGAAACTACTATAATGGGGAAAAAATCAAATAAATCAAAGAGAAAACGAAGTTGAAGAAAGAGAAAAAGGTAGAAGAAAAATAGAAAATAAGCATACAAAGTAACTTCATCCGTTCTTTACAGTTAAAAGTATGATTATAAATTTGCCTTTGTATTCTAAAACAACATGATTTTCTATAATTTATCCAGTCTAATTATCAAAGAAGTCAATTTGGCCATCTCAGCAAGTTCTATCATTTTCAACAACCATTCCTCCATTGTGGATAATGCTAAATCTTTCTTTCTTTGTGTATATAATAATCTCATTGCTATTGCCATATACAACAACAAAGTTCCATGGCTTTTTTCAAACTGTCCCTCAATTCCAATACAAAAACCTCTCAGTTGTTTATTTTAACTGTTACTTTAAAATCCTTTGAATCAATGTATCTATTTTTTTTAGCTTTTTTACGTGTCTACCAAGTATGATAAAATGTCCCTTATTGTTCACAAGGACTCAGGAGGATTCTTGTTATTATAATGATTCCAGGAAGAAGACTCCAAATTTTGCAATGTTGATATTCAGTTAAGTACCAGATGTTTTTTCAGTTACTTATGAAAATGCTTATTTTGGGGAATTGCACTTAATTCATTTAAGGCATTTGGATTATATTGGTATTTCCATTTACTAACTGTAGCTATTCAAACTATTTTCCCAGCTGGTTGAAAAGGGAAAGAAGATTGAAATGGCAAACATGTCATAAGTTGGGTGGAAGCCTGGAAGAAAGAAACATTCAGCAGTAATACTTTATATCACTATGTGAAATACTCCTGAAAACTCAATTGTTCTAGAGATGAAACAGAAATTACATAACTTCCTTTCTCTGTGTCTTCATCAACATTTCATCAACATATATTCTTTTAGTTAAAGCATTTCTGTCACATAACTCTTTCAAAATCATTAAATTTTAAGTCTAGACAGAGAAATTATTCTGGGGGGGGGGGTTGGTATCAGCTTATAATTCCCATTGATGAAAAACAACTTGCTTTAGATTTCTTTTAAAAAATGA